ATAAACTATTTCATATTTAAATTAAATTAAAAAAACTATTGCTGACATATCGTGCATATATTCTGCTTATATATGGTTGTTCGGGATTGAAGCAGTTAAAAGCGGAATACAAAAATGGGAGAGGTATAAGGTCCCGGACATTTACGTTTACAAACACAATTTAGCGAATTTGGGAAATTTCGCTACACTGAAAACTCGAATATACGATTATAATTCCGAATAGTAATGCCAATGAACCTTCCAAGGCTATATCCTACTGACGTCACGACAAAGATCGGCATTGGAACAGACACCGGTGAGCTACCGGCGTCGCAAGCTCTTACGAGAATATTTAAGAGTAGCGCAAAGACACGCATCTTCCTTATGCTATCACGCAGTCTCTACGACAGGCTCACTATTCTACCTTCAAGCATTACCACTACAGGCATCCCGCACTGTAACTATTCACGTACGTAAGCATCAAGCAGTTCATCAAAGCAATAGTGACGCCACACCATTAGAATCTATTAAACTTAAACGTAAACTTATATTCAAGAAGCGCCAGTGCAAACATAAATTAAGAGTGAAATTAACGAAACTACAACTACAAGATATACTAACGTATCGCAACCTAGATACAACTACCAGTGGATCTCACGCCTACGTAAGCAGCAACGTCAACACGCACGTTTCTCACGCCATACCAATACCGGCAGACCTCACACCTGCGTAAGCAGCAACGGCAACAGGCACGTTCCTTGCAACTACACCAACAGGGGCGGGGCTCACGCTCGCACCGGCGGCTAAGGCAGCATCGTGTCACTCCCTCCTTTAGTACGCGCCGGCTACAACAGCGACACTTCTCGTGAAAGGAAGGACTCACGCCTCACATTACCGAGAGTATACACTCTCACCAGCACGTAAAATAATTGAAGAAACTTCATCAAATAATTCACTCACACTCTCCATTCGTACTCTTTTATGACCATCAACTAATTATTATATTATTGTATTTAATAAAGAAAAGACAAGATACACTATGTGTGGAATTGAATAATTGCATTTGCCTCCTCTACTAGCCTGCAACACCTCCACCTACCATCAAAGGGAGGTTTTCAGTCTGATCCCAGACAATTATATACTTCACAAATTTTACAAATTTGTTATGTTTGCTGTTTTTCTATATTAGAATAATTTTTTTGTATCATTCCTGTCTTTTCTTTAGGAATTTTAAGTTATCAATTTCTTTTTATTCCTAAAACTAGTATTTATTTTAAGAATAAGTGTATTTGTTATAATAATATTTATATTAATATAATTATAAAACTTCAAATAATTATTCCTTTCTGTTGTATTAATTAACTGATCATATACCAATTATGTTTATAATATTATTTTTAATAAACATTTTTTTTTTAAATTTTGTCAAAAGTAAAAATTCTATCCAGCCATTTTAGTATTTATTTATTCATTGAATCTATTAATTCTGTTATCTGTTCTCAGATGCTATTTTCAATAACATACATAGTATATTTAAAAGATTAACAAAGGTAATACATTAAATCTTCATTATCTGAACATTGAAATAATTTATCTTAAATTATTTTGTATAATATACACATTCTTATAGCACTTAAACTTTATATATAAATATATGACTATTACATTTAAATTATTTCAGTTATTTTATTCATACCTTTTATTTAGTATATATCCATGCTATGCGCGAATCTCTACATAAGTATTATAAATGAGTATTGTGAATTTGAGTTCTGCAAATACTCATAGTTTTTTTTTATTTCTCTGTATATTTTCTATTTTTAAGTACTTCTCTCTCTCTCTCTCTCTCTCTCTCTCTCTCTCTCTCTCTCTCTCTCTATCTATCTATCTATCTATCTATCTATCTATCTATCTATCTATCTATCTATCTATCTATCTATCTATCTATCTATCTATCTATCTATCTATCTATCTATCTATCTATCTATCTATCTATCTATCTATATTTATCTATCTATATCTATATCATTCTGATATTTCTCTAATGACTTTCTTTAACTGTCTTTAACTTTTAAAGATGTGAAGACAACGCATATCTTGGTTAGAATAACTAATTAGAGATTTATAGTTACGAAGACTCGAGGAAAAGCTTGAAAATGAGGATGAGAAAGCGAGAAACAGCAAGATAAAGTTAAATAGATACAGAGACAGATAAAAAGAGAAAGAGAGATAGATAGATAGTTAGATAGATAGATAGATAGATAGATATATAGATAGATAGATGGATTGATAGATAGATAGATAGATAGATAAATGGATAGATAGATAGATAGGTAGATTGATAGATAGATAGATAGATAGATAGATAGATAGATAGATAGATAGATAGATAGAGAGAGAGAGGGGGGGGGGAGACCGAGAGAATCAGCTTATAAGCGAAAGCTTATTCAACATGGAATTTACATTCAACGAGTTCAGATTAGTTTTAACGTAAGCCAAACATCAAGAAACTATATTTTGTTACAATATTAAAATTCCAGCATAACTACAGACTTCAGAATAACAAATTATTCTATAGGTTTATAAAATTAAATTTGTATGGTTTCAAGAAAAATATAATACCATTTGTTTCTGGCAAAGCAGAATGCCAGAATTATGTCGACGATAGTTTGAGAGAAAATAGAAAAAATTGAAGCCGATCATAATAATGTTTTGAATTATGTGTTATCAGCTTCATTAGTAATTTATTTAATACGTGTGATTTCAATAAGATAAAATTAATGATAATTTATCTAATTTGAATAGAATCACTATCAAATTTGATTATATTTTATATAAGCCATTTATTTTTATTTTTATTACTTCTCAATATTTTTGATGCAGCATTATATTACATAAATTAAATTTTTAATTTGAAGAAAATTATGTATTAATTTTCTTCATTTATTCTGGAATATAACACTGTCTATAATATTTATATTTGACATAAAATATTAAATAATATTGAAACAATTTTAATTTAAAAGAAAGAATTATAAAATATATTTTTATTGAAGAATTAAATAATTATGATATTTTGAATTATAAGTATATTTTTAATAATCCATCTCCCTGTCAGCATTTATCAAATGGGAAAAATAATCAATTACTGGAACGAATCATGAATTCTTGCGAAAGTAACGAAGAGAATTTTTCACGGTTTCGATAATACGATTTTCTTTGAGCCGGTATAATTCTCAGCTACCTACCGCAGAAGTTTGTGGTAAAGTCAACCGTGCCATTTACCATCTCAAAGAGGGGAAGAAACGCGTGTACGCGACCAGCAGCTCGTTCCTCAAAGTCAGCTTTTCGAAAAGCGTTCGTTATCGCTGGGTGCTCCGTTCACTTCAACGAACAGATCGACATCGGCGGCAAGTCATTTGACTATTTAAAAGTCCGTACTATGGCGTTACATTCTCTTCTATTTTCGCTTTATGTCGTTTGCCTGCATATAAACTACGTAAGAAACACTACGAACTATCAATCTGCTATATGTCGAAGTATGAACTTTTAGGCTTTGACTATTTTTTCATATCTTGTCTTGGATTTTACCCTTCTTTCTTCTCCTTATTTCTCAATTTATATATCTATCGATTTTTTGTAACATTAGTTGCTTTTTTTAAAACCGTTTTTATATTTCACAATGTTTCAAAAGTTATTTATATATTCAATTGTTCTTATTTCAGAAAAAGACCTTTGAAGTTTTTATCTTGATTGTCAATTTTGTTATCACGTATTCAATTTATGTATATTAGAAGCTATCTGTATTAATGGCTCATACCTAACATTTATAAAATAAAATATGATTTTATTAGTTTATATATGTAATATTAAAAATATTGAAATACTAGCTACATATAAAATATATAAAATACAATGATTCTCGAGGCTTCTTACAAATATCATTATTTAATATGAGTGGAAAAAAGCACTTTCGGAGTATGCACATTTCGATATGGACGCGGACTGTTAATAAAGTACTCATTTTTATATTCATTATAAATTTAATACATGAAGCATTAATATAAACCGCATTAAAAATGTACGTTGAAGAAAATAAAAAAAAAAAATTATTATACAAGATATAAAAAAGTACTATTTTAATTTGAAAGTTAAATAAATAGAAAGCTAATGGACAGACTGTCAATAATATTCTTCATGACACAGCTTGTAAAAAATAACTATCTGGTTGAAGAAGCTGTCCGCATTCTTTTTAAATATTCTTCGTTGAACTTCTTGCTCGCTTACATCTTTTTATTCTTGGGAAGCTTCATCTTTTTGAAAATTTTGTAAAATAGTGCCAAAAAACAGAAAAAATGCACTAAAGATAACTTGAATGCGTATTCTCTGAAGGTTATAGAAGATGTTACTAATAGGAAATAGTTAAAACGTTCCTTTTGTCTCTCTCTCTCTCTTTCTCTATGTCTCTTTCTCGTTTACTTTAAGCTAAGAAGCTTTACTTAAGAAGCTATCTAGTGCTTACCTATTGCATATTTTCAGGTCACGTCTTTCCACATTGTTCAGAAATTTCTAAATTGCTGAGAAAATAGAGAGTTATATTTGGGTTCTAAAAAATTTTTTCATTACCGTACAGGTAATACGATTCAAAAATATATATATTCCTTATTATTAATGAACAACGCTTATAAGAATACTTATTATATGAGAAAAGAATCAGATAATTTCTCTTGTAATATAAGTAGAGCGAAACATAATTTAAAATTACCAATTTTACTTCAAATTATTTAAATTAAATTTTTATCGATGCTATCAATTAAGATTTAAGAGATTAAAACAATATTTAGATTAATTAATAATTAATTAAGTAATACTTAATTATTAATTTATACTTTTTAGTATTTACTTTATTAAAAAAATATATTAATTTTCCAATTCTATATCATGCTTATATAATTATTTCAGTTAATATTAATATAAAAAGCCAGAATAAATTAGTAGAATTTAATAATTTACTTTCCCAGGCAGTGGTGAAGAGTCAAGGACCGGTATGGGAGATCCCAGCAAATTGGGGGTGAAAAAACCAAGGCCGAAAGCTTCTTCGCCGAACAGACAAGGACCTCAACAGTGTCAGGTATAACTTTTTCTGGTAAAATAAGTTTCAACCATACCATTTTGATGAGTAAAGCACTTTATTTAGACATATTCATATTAATTCTATTATAAAATAATATAATAGCGTTAGTGCATATTATATCGTATATATTAATGACAATGATTTATAAAAAGCCAAAAAAAAGTAAGTATATATTACATTTTATTACAGATTTCAACGATAGACATAAAATATTATTCGCATACGTAAAAGATAAAAGCTTCGGAAATTGAAAGTTTTAATATGAGTGAAATTATATCACTTGATACAGTATAATTCAATAAAAGAAGAAATTTTTAAACTTTGGTCGATATTCCAGTAGAACGCATTACTTTTACATTTCGACAGACGTAATATCTGGGAAAGGGCGCATCAGTAGTAATGGCTGACGAGTAGTCAGCCAAGCGTTCACGTAACGCTGCGCCAGGGTGAAACGGAACAAACGGAAAAAGGAAAAATAGAAACAATAAAAGCGAAAGAGCGATACGAAAAAAGAATGAAGGAAAGAGAATGGAAAGAGAAGGCGTAGGCGGGAAATTAATTTTCAAGCCAGTACGGTCGAGCGAATTACAGGCTCGCTCGCTCGCCGAACGTGGAGCGTGCTTCAGAAATGCGGAAAACCCACAAATTCGGACTGGCATTCGAATGAGCACCAACGACGCATGTATACTCGAAGCTGTATCTTTCTCCCTTTAATCCTATGCTCGAATACACGCGCGCGGTCACAGCAACCATTTCTACTTTGTCCGTTGCGTTTTGTTCGCTCACTTTTTCGCTCTTCTGCACTCGTTTACGCATAAACGAACAGCAGGCGCAGACCATCGGTCGCTAACGAGTCTGACCTACTTTCTCTACTGGCTGTGTATTTATTTCAGAACACTTAATGCGCACACGAGCACTACAAAGTCGTATATTTTTGGAAGAAGAGTCTGTCTATTCTTCTTTCTCGTTTTATAGCGTGTTTATACCTGTGTCCTCTATTTCTATATTCAACTTGTATAATTTTTAGAATCTAGTTATTGCACATTTTTCAATATTTTATAAAGTTTTATATTCTATATTATTTTTATTAGTATCGTTAATAATTTATACTACTTTTCTTTTACTATTTAGATCTTTATGATAGTATTCCTGATTTAAAATCGTAATAGAATAAGACATTTAATAATTGCTCTTAAATCAATAAAAAAAATTTTGTAAAGAGAAACTGAAATTTTAATATGAATACTAGATTCACAAAAATAAGCAGGTAGAACTTATTAATTTATAAAATATTTATATACTTCCTAATCTTATTAAATGATATTTATTAGATATTAACAGTATATATATATTTTTTTTTTCGCATCTACCATAAAAATATATGTATGTGCATATAATTCTAACATAATTAATTTTTTAATAATATTATCTATCTATGCATAAGTTCATATGTATACACGTGAATAGAGTTGTATTTTAACTGCCTTTAAACTTCTGTATATCTGTATATTCTGTATAACTTCTGTGATATTTAAAAATATTATTTCTGACTGTTAAATCTCAAATTTCAACATAATATAATTTTTATTTTTGTAATGGATTACCTCTACTAATATAATAACTAATATAATAACTAATATTATAAAATAAGGTATAATTATATAGCAACTTAATTTTAATAAAATTAGTCTGAATTTTTAATAAAAGAAAATTCATAATGCAATAGATTATATCATCCGTTCAAAAGTCACGAATATTGAACGATATTTGGCTTAAGGAAGCTCGCGAATGTATAACTTCTCGAGCATGTATTGTCGATATATGTTGACATCTACATCGTCACCCGTGCATTCGAGTGGGTGGAGGATTAATAATACTAATATAGGTGGCCGATATGACGTTCGGGAAAGAAGGAAAGACTGTTGAATATTCATACATGCGTAGTAGCAACCGCATCATCTTTTAAAGTACTTTCCTGAACGCTTCGAGCTTTGCCGATTATATAGATGTTGAACAAAACCGATATAGCCCTATGTTCTATACCATCGAATTAGTATTTTTGTTTCCTTCTACGTATCTACTATTGCTCTTCAACTGAGTTAAGACACCCCTAATGCCCACATTGTAAATACATATCTTGTATTTGTATCGTAAATTTCTGCGTAGATTTGTATATTCCTCTCGCTATCACTTGGACCTCTCTGTCTGGTTATCCATCTCTTTCTTTCTCTTTTACTCAATACATTCTAATCCATTTTATATTAGCTATTTACTAAATAAAATAATAAATGTTTCTAGATGCTAGTAAATTTGCCATGTATTTTATTATATCAATTTATTGAATCTATATTGTACTTCGAGCATTTAAACGAAGATATTATCCTCGAAAAACTAGATCAGTATAGCAAATTAAATTTAACTTTGAACTATTATATCTTTTCAACTTCTATCTCAAAAATATATTGTTTACAAGATTTCTAAGCAATTATCAGTTTTCTTATATTTACTCATATATTTAAGATACAGGAATATTTAAACAAATATTAATTATGAATTATGTATCCAGTACGTAGTTAAAAGCTTCATCGTAACTAGGAATGTATATAAAAATATAATCATAGAAAAGTAGACAATATTAAAAATAATTAATTTAATTGAATATTAAAATTAATTGAAAATTAATTTTGTTAACTATATAATTTTTCTAATATTCATGATTAAAATATAATCACAATGAGGTAAAATAGAAAAGAAATCAATTCTCAATTAAACTTCTAATTAATAAATAAGCTTCAAAATTATTTACATAATGATGCACATAAAAGAAAAAAACAGATATATTTTGGGTAAATAAAATGAAAGGATAAATTATCTTATTATGGATAAAAGGTAAAAGATAAAATGAGCTGAAAAGTGTGGACCATAATCTAATGATATACTAAAACTAAAAAGTAAATCGATGGAAATATTGATTATCTTCTCTTCATACGATGAACCAGTCGATTCTGCTTTGTTAATTATAGCTCACAATAAATATATACGTTATATTATGGCGTCTAGTCTTATCTAATACGTTACGATTTATTCCAGAAAATACAGCAATAAAAATACAGAGAATGTATGACTAAAAAATTATGTTACATAAAATTAATAAAGTATAACGTTTTAAAATAATATGTAATCAAAACAATCAACATGTTATAATTAATAAGTTCTGTAGTTATTTGCACGGATGAAGGATTGGAAGGTTATTGCACAGTTCATTTTTTCTAGTTATTTCTTTATCCGTGCATTATGTTCATTTAATCAAATTAAAGTAACAAGGTCAAATGAAATTTATGAGTTGAAAAATTAATTTTTATATATATTTATATAAATATATATTTAAATATAGCATAGGTAGTATTATTTTAAAAAGTATTAAGATGTAAATCTATAAATTTTAGCCATTTTATTTGTATATATGTATTATATGAATATGAAATGTATTATTTTATTTAATATATTTAATATTATATGTAATGTGTTAAATATATTAAAAATTAAAAATTCAAATAGTTTAATGCTTTTGTAAGATTTCATAAATTAAATTGACATAATTTCCTAAACGACATACTAAGGTATATCTAAACTTAAAGTAGTTAAACTTCTTTCATTAATATATAGTATTTCAGTATATTTAAAAATTACAATATATTTTATTAAATAAATCTGTTATATATTCGATTCATTTAATTATACAATTTTATGACACTCTTCAAGTTTTATTTATCATGAGTAGATTTTAAAAATTTTTATTCTATGATTTTAGAATAATAGAAAACATGGTATTCAACAAAATAATAGCATATATATTAATCTATTATTAGATACTTTAAAAATTCATTTTTTTTTTAATCTAGCCACTGCTGACCATTTAATTAAAAAACTTTGAGACTGTAGCTATATGAGAGATATTAGTTACTGAAGATTGAACGTATCCACATCACGGTTGCAGATTTCATTTGTTAGTTTAATTTATTATTTAAATTGTTATATAACTCATAATTATAAATTTATAATAGTTATAAATATACATAATATAAACATAAGAAAGTAAAGACGAACATTTAAATTTTCCTCATATGTTTATACATCATTTCAACAATCTTAATGTTTCAATTTTAGGATAAATTATTTGAGTTCAATACATGAGAATAATATAATTATAAAAGAAATAATTTTAAGAATTCAATAATATAAGCTTTCTCTTATTTATTATTTTTCTTATTAAATTATTGTTTTTATAAATTTTAATTTATAAATCTTAATAAAAATTTTTAATTTAAATTAATTAGTAGAATCTATCGTATATTTTTCGTATATTTATCGTATATGTTTATTATTAAATTTAACTAATACAATATCAATAAAATTATTTAAATATAAATTCAATAATTTATATAAATATATATTAAACAATTATATATTTCAACTAAGTAAAACGGAATAGTAAAACATTTTTTCTAATTAGTCTAATGGCTAAATGAAGTTTAAGTGTAAAAATATTTCTTTTACTTTTTCGTACTGACTTTTCAGTAATGTAATAGATATTTATGTTTTTAAATGATTTGAAATACATAAAATTTACTTGAAAATGTAGGTAATATTTTAGAAAAATGTACTGGATACTACGTTATATACACTTATGCATAGAATGACACTGTTATATGTATGTTTATTTATGAAGATTTATATACATAAATTTGGATTAAGAAAATATTAATAATGGAAATAATAATTTTGTATTATTGGCATACTTAAGATAAAGGTATTAAATGAATTAATTGGTAGTGTCTTTTATATTTCATTTAATAAAAATTTTTAATAAAAATGATTTTATTAAATAGATAATTTAATATATTGATAACAAAAAAAGTTTCAAGAAAAAGAAAAATGGGTGGTATTTACTTTTAATTGTGTCGTTGTTCACCGTGAATGAAGGCAGTATCGGAACT